GTATGAATTAACAGCCATAAGTTTTTAAAGTTGTTTAATTGGATAGTTGGTTGCGGTGATTTGTGATTTATTTAGGGAGTTGTCATCTGGTTGATTGGGAGTTGATGTTATTTATTGGCGTTTTTATTTTTGTTTTTTAAATTCGATTTTGGTTCGGGTTGTCATACAAGGCTATTACGATTTTATGTGTTTTTAATACAAAACATGTTGTTTCCCCAGTCCTGTTGTTGTGAAGAATTTTTATGATTTTGATTATTTTGCCAGATTTTGCCCATTCGATCTTTCAAGTTCCTTATTGTATGTTATGTTCCCCCTTTACCTCCTGTTTTCTCTTGGTCAGATCTCTTTATGGAACAAGAAGGTAAATTTCCAGTTTTAACCGGTCTTGGAATTTCGAAACAATTTAATTTTTTTTAAGTGAATGTTCCTCCCTTGTTTTTTGGGGGGAATGGAATGTTCCTTCGTTGTTTAATACCTCTATTATGATGTTATTTGTCACATTTGGCTTGTTGGCAAGTGACATAACTTGTATTCCCTGATGCCAAACTTGATAAAATGTGTATGATTCACACAGCAAAGAAAAAAAAATTAAAAATATCTTATAACATGTTTGTTCTAACTCTGCTGGGAAGGGAGCCAAGTTCACCAATACAATTACAGTCTACATTTATGCAGCTAAATCCTGGATTACTTTTTGCCTAGATGATACACAATAAAAATGCATTAAATCATGATTGAACAAAAGTAAGTTTCCTGATAATCCTATCAAATTTATTCATAATGCTTCAGTACTTGTTGCACAAACAGTATCAGTATTATATTGATTAATGCATTTGCAAATAGTACAAAAAAAATATACTATTGTCAAGGGATTATTGTGGCCTATGTTTAACCCCTTGCCGCCGGGTGACGGCGATACGCGTGTAAACAAATCGCTCGAAAGGTGGCGTGCGGCCAAACCAGCCGGCGGCGCGCCAAAGCGCGGCGAGCCAGTGATTCGGGCTGACGCCCCGTACTCCTGCGCTCAAAGTCGGCGCGCTGCCTTTGTTTGCCAGAGCGTAGAGTTTTATTTTCCTTTAGTACACCCGGCGTCATTGGGTTAAGATACATAGAAGATAAGGTTTTTAGATTTATTCGCCCTCTCATTTACATATATTATTTTCCTTGTAAAAGATGGCTGGTTGAAATTTAACTGTTACTGAATAAAATGTAACCAGTCTGGCATTTATTTATCTCCAGTCTGGAAGTGATAATAGATCCTGTCTACAGAATTCATTTTGACTAACAAAAAAAAAGGGGGTTTCAATGGGAATGAATACATCACAGCACTAGTTTTATTTATTTTTATTTATTTATCTTTGTTTTTGTTTTTTGTACATTTTCAATATATCTTTATCAGAAATATATATATTGGTGAGATCACAAAGCATGTATAAATCAGACATGAGCAGAAGATCACCTGACATTCCTGTCTGATCCGATGTTCCCTGCATAATTATTGCCACCCTATACAACGTTCATATTCTCCTCTGACATAGTGTACACAGGTTCTGTTATTTTTCTTTTATAATTATGCATAGTATAGGAGCCCAGTCAAGAAAGGACAGTATGTGATCCTGTGTCTCTTTCACCATGAAACTTTGTACAGTTTAGTAGGTTAGTTAGAAATTTAAAGCAGGAAACTAAGCCAACAACTCAGATAAACAAACATGTGAACCCCATCCTAAAGGCAGAAATTCCCCCAAAGATTGCTGTATGAACTAAAAAAAAAAGTTTGCTAATCGCCACTCGTGAGCATAGGTAATCCATGGTGGATTTAAAAGAAAAATAATGAAAGCCGCATGTATAGTGTTGGAAGAGGAAATTAACATAATTAGCACTTAGTGTCAGGAAGGTTCAAATTATCCAGGGTTACAGTAACAATTTTGTGACAGGTCAAGTGATAGGTCATGGATGTCAAGTGAATCATCAGCTCATGTCTGATATATATGTTATGTAGTCTCCGATACAGTTATTTCAGATGAAGATATAATTGAAATGCATTAGATATGTACATCTCATATGCTATCAAGTTTTTCATTTGGGTTTATAATTTTTTCTACATCTTATATGCAGTTTTTATCAAAGTTCATTGTGACAGATGAACATTGTTGAAAAAAAAGAAAATCAAGCCATATTGTTGGTACATTTTGATTACATCTTCATCAGAATTACACATGCAGCTTTGTTTAGGATCTTGCTCTTTATCTGCAGAGAGTAGACCTTGCCTTTCTCTTTCTATACTGGTCTTACAATTAAAATTTGTAAATGTAGGCCAGACATGCTATTACTACTGCTTATGAATTTGGAATTGCTGAAGATTGCTGCCCAGTGAAGCTAGTTTTAGAGTGCAGAAACCCATGATAGTGAAGATATTCATCTTGATGGTTGGGGAGAGCATATGATACAAAAGGGACCAAAAATACTTGACAGCAATCACCACGAAGGACTACTAGCTTTA